TCCCTACCCTGTCTACCTGCCTGGGGCAGGGAGAGCTCTGAGACTCGGAGCTGGTTGTCCTGGGCTGATAAGACGGGAGGGTTTGATTGGTTCCCCCAGTGTGAATTAAGACACAAACGAGGTCAAATAGTATCAGTGAGTGAGATTTTATTGCTGGTGATAAAAAGGGGGGGACTGTCGAAGGAAATGGACTCCATATGATCCAGTGTGAATCAAGCAGAAGCACGTTATTACGGTCTCGCTATCTGTAATATACAGTGATTCTCTCCATGCACGCAATCACGCATATAATGATTGGATAAAGCCTTTATTCATGTGCCTCTAAGAGCTAAATGATAGGTTAAATATCTCTGTTCATGCGCCACTAATGACTAGGTGATAGGTTGGATAATAGTCCGGCTCAGTCTTCCCTTTGCAGTTGTTTCTGTTCTTCTGCTCCCTTTATCTTTTCCTTGCAGAGTCTGTTTTCATCCTCTGTTGGTGCTCGGCATGCACCTCCCAACCTTGCACGTGTTTAGTCCATCTCCCCAAATGGCTGTTTCACATCGTGTGATTCATATAATGATTGTATAAAGCCTTTGTTCATGTGCCTCTAAAAGCTAAATAATAGGTTAAATATCTATGTTCACGTGTCACTAGTAACTATGTGATAGGTTGGATAATAGTCCGGCTCAGTCTTCCCTTTGCAGTTGTTTCTGTTCTTCTGCTCCCTTTATCTTTTCCTTGCAGAGTCTGTTTTCATCCTCTGTTGGTGCTCGGCATGCACCTCCCAACCTTGCACGTGTTTAGTCCATCTCCCCAAATGGCTGTTTCACATCGTGTCCATTCTTTTCTAAATACATTGTCTCCACGGTGGGAGGTGTGGGGAGTGTGATAGGAGAGCCAGAAACAGGGAAAAGGGAGTAGAGAAGTAAGTAAGATTTCACGGAATCATCAATGCTGGAGGAGACCTCTCGGATCGAGTCCAACCCTTAACCCGTCACTGCTGGAACCCCTAAACCATATTTTCCAGTGCTACATCCAGACAGCTCTGAAGCTCCTCCAGGGATGGTGGCTCCACCAACTCCCTGGGCAATATCCCAGTGCCTGAACACCCTCACAGGGAAAACATTTCTCCTAATATCCAATCTCACTCTGCCCTGGCTCAGTTCAAGGCCATTCCCTCTAGTTCTCTCCTTGCAGCTATGGTAGGACAGACATCCCCCACCTCTCTCCAACCCT